GGGGGAGTTGGGATGTACAGTAACAGTTTATATAAGTTTCCCTCCTTTATTTCTTGTGTTGGTGTAATGTAAATTATTTGAAGTTGTAGTGCTTGTACATCTTGCAGGAGGTTCCATAGAATTGGTTCAGCCATCAGGTTCTGGGACTTCAGATGACAGTGGATGCTCTTCAAGGAAGCGTCGAAGAACAGAGAATTCAGGTGGTGCTTTTTTCGATCTAAACTTGCCTGCCGAGCTCATTGATAGGAACTGACCCTGTTGAGTTGCTGATTAATTTGACATAAGTGTACAGCTCTTAAAAAAAGGAAGGAAAAAAAAAGCTACTCAGAGATTTGAAATGATAATTCAGCGGGCGATGCATTTCACTGCGTCATCCTATTTTGTTCTAGAAATTTTTTTAAGCCCTGTAAGAGGATAAGAATTACCTTAAAAAGTCCTTAGTTTTGGCTAAAGATTTCAAATGTATAGCCTTTATTTGGCTTCTTTTGGGTAGATAGTTTGATTATTATTTTTTTCTGGCCTTTCCATCCCCCTCCTGTCAGTTCCTCTCGTTGTGCACTTTCCAGAATGGGCAGTGCTCCCGTTGGACTTTTGGCTTCATATCCATAATGGTAAATTATTTGGTGAAATTTCTACATCTTGTTGTTTACTGTTTCGTTTTATCTCGTCATTGGACATTTTCTTATTCATGCAACTGTACAGCTTCTTATTGGGTTAGCTTACAAGAAAACAAGGTCTGAGTTGTACATATGTACTTTCATCTAAATCATTTTGACGTCTCCTTATGCCTCTTACATATCTAATGAGATTCATGTATATAACATAAACAGATTTAGAGATCCATACCAAGACCTCAAGCATGAAAGAAGACCAAAGTTGTGAAGTACTCTAAGTACTGAAATTTCTCTGGGATATTAGCATCGCGAGTTGAAATTTGAACTTGCATGCTGAGTTAGAACTAATCTAACAACGCTAGGGTGTATGAATCATCACTAACCATGTTGTATTGTGAATTCGGATGCATATGAGTTATGCTGCAACCCTGCTTCATCCTGTAATATGAGCAAGTTTACTAATAGCCTGTTTGGCCATGCTTCTAAAATCAACTTATTTTGAGAAGTGTTTTTCTCTAAAGTACTTTTAAAAAAAATGCTCCTGGTGAGAAGTAGTTTGCGTTTGGCTAATTAATTTGAAAAGCACTTTTGAGCAGTAATTAGTGTTTGGCCAAGCTTTTGGAAACTGCTTCTAAGTGTATTTTTCTCAAAAGTGCTTCTCAGAAAAGTGTTTTTGGAAAGAAGCTACTTTTTTCAGCTTCTCAAAAACAGCTTTTGCTTCTCCTCAAAAGTACTTTTTTTTCCTTCCAAAAGCTTGGCCAACCACCTCAATTTTTGGCCAAAAGTGCTTTCGGCCCAAAAAACACTTTTGGCCCAAAATAAAGCTTGGCCAAACAGGCTATAAGGCAGAGATTCATATTGATATAACAATGTTGCAAATTTTTCAAAAATACAAGAAAAACTCTTGATCATCTCTCACTACCCTTGTAATTAATTTTTCATAAATAATATTTGCATAAGTAATGAGAGTATCTATATCTTATTTTATCTGAAACAGTGTCACGCCCCGAACCTAGGCCTGGACGTAACACGGCACACGGTGCCTGACTACATGTGACCGAGCGAACCAACTGGCTGGCTGAATCAACATGTGATATCATAACATACTAAATGCGGAAGATAAACTAACACATATTGATATACTGAAAGTCTGGACGATATAAATCAAAGTGCGGAAATACTAATACAATTCGGAAACATATTTGCAGCCAACATGGCTTAACATGAAAAGTCTGAGACTCTGTCTAACTGTTACTGTAGTCTATGAAGCCTCTATTGAAGTACTGAAAGCACTAACTATCTGTAAATACTGAAAGGCTGTAAAGTAATGATAATGCCCCGAAAGAACTGGGGATCACCAAATAGCTGGTACGAGAATCCTAGCGCTCTGCATAGTCGACCTGTAAATTATTACCTGCATTGTGAGATGCAGGCCCCGAGCAAAAGGGACGTCAGTACATTTGAATTGTACTGGTATGTAAAGCAACTGAAAGAAAGAATTATAAATGCTAAAACTGAAACTAAGCTGATAACTGAAATGATAACTATTGAAACTGAAACTGAATTGATAACTGAAAAGATAACTGATAACTGATAACTGAACTGATAACTGAAAAGATAACTGGTAACTGATAACTGAACTAATAACTGATAACTGAAATGATAGCTGATAACTGAACTGAACAAAGGAAGTAAGGCTATGAATACTCCCTCTTTTGAATGCTGAACAACCTGTTAATCTGAATAAGCTACGGCCTCGGGCCCAATATATGTGTGCACATGCTACGGCCTCAGGCCCAAGTATACGTATACATAACTACGGCCTCAGGCCCAAAAATGCATAAAGCATAAACTACGGCCTCAGGCCCAATAAAGCATAAACTACGGCCTCAGGCCCAAGTATGCATAAAGCATATAAACTATGGCCTCAGGCCCAAATACAGGTGTTCAACATTCAGGAACTGAGAATCAAACTACAATACATGATAGTGAAATACTGAATCACACTGAGTTACATGATACTGGAATACTGGATCACACTGAGTTACATAATACTGGAATACTGAATGGGACTAGACTGAGACATGTATTCCTGAACTGATTATGAACACTGAAACTTCAACTGTTTATGGCATACTGAGTAATCTATACTAAGACTCGGGGGCATCAAACCCAAGTCTATATTGAATACGCACCGAGTTCACAACGTTCAGAATGAAAGTGGTGAACGAGTTATGAAGCTAGAGAATAGAAGTTCTACAACTATTCCAGGGACTAGGCTTAATTATATTTCTGAGGCAATTGGTAACGTCGTAAAAGAATGTAGTGTAGGGAGAATCATTAAAATTCCCAAACATAGAGAGTTAGCCTCACATACCTTAACTTCCTGCTCTTGAGCGTAATACAATATTCGCCAACCCTTTCAACTTTAATCTATATCAATACAAGTCAAAGGGATTTCAAATTAGCAACAATATCCATGTTTTGGTCACTTAGGCATTTTATGAAACACTTGGTGAGTATAAAGCTTCATAATCCCTATTAATGGTGTTTCTACACCCAATAACTGATTCTCTTGCTCTTGGATAAATTCTAAAGTCTCAAATGGTTATAATCAATATTATTCTTCATCACCCATAAGGTAAACTACACCCTTAACCAATAAAGTTCCATTAAATAAACATCTTTCAATCTCTATAATAGTTGTGTATTTATATTAGGAACTTATGGCTTCTAATCACCACACCAAGAGTCCCAATACTTAATTCACACTCATATACCCATAATAAATTCATACATGTAAGTCTAAGGGTGTAGGATTACCTTTTGGAAGAAATCTTGCAAAACCCTCCTTTGAGTTCTTGATGGAATTTCTTGAAGATCTATGTGTTTTATGAGTAGATTTCATCAATACTAGTGTAAGAATGATGGAATTTCACACCAAGTTAATGGAGATTGCTTACCTTGAAGATGGGAGGGGTTAGAGGTCTTGAGAGGGTGGGAGAAGACCCCAAAATTCGTCCAAAAGAAACAGGGGAAAATGAACCCTAAAATTGGCTTAAAAGAGTTGGGACTGGGGCGCGTCTACTCTAACGAAGTGTCCTCGCTTCGCTGTCCATTGCATTCAAGAGAAGACAAAAATCCGCGTCTACTTTGGCGAAGCGAGCTCGCTTCGCTGTCTGCCAAAATAACTGGGTGGTATGTCTTTAGTAATTTGGTTATAACTTCTTGTAGGAATGTCCAAATGACGAACGGTTTGAAGCGTTAGAAACTAAACTCAAAGATCTTTCATTTAATAGGTTGTGAATCACATAATACCTTATATAAATGTAGATATGCTCGTCCAAAGTATAGTCTTGTGCGTGCTCATTTAGAATTTTAGTCTATCATGTAATTTTCCAACTTGGCTTAGACTTAGGTCTTTCCTTGGACCCCAAATCACTTATGATATGCCTCGTACGCTTATTATCATAACCAATTGATAACCATCACATTAATACTCATGTAGTGCATTCACAACTGATTTAAATTTACGGGGTGTTACAAACAGATTAGTAATGCATGAACTAAAAATACTAAAAAGACAAAACTAACCTCATTAAAGTGAAAATATACTTTGTATGCTAATTGTAATATATCAAACTAAACATCCCAACAAAAAATAATCCCATGATTATGAACTCTTAAATAATTTTTTGTGAAAACTTCTACAACCTTATGCTACATAACTTATTCATGGTTCAGTTTGGATTGGTTTTTCCCTAAAAAGAAATCAAACCAAGTAAGTCGGTTTTTCAAATATTGAAACCAAACCAAACCAATTAAGTCGGTTTTTTATCGATTCGATTTTTGTCGGTTTTTCGGTTTTTCCAGTTATTTATCGGGCTTTTTCTTAAATATGAGACATACACTACCAAACGCATATTCCGGCGACTACATTTTCAACGTAACACTATCAAATCAATTGCTCTTTGAGAAATCTATCATTTACCAAAATATATTGATGATAGTTGAATCAAAATAGTGATGAATAATTTAAGTACTCAATTAAAAATCGATTATTTTTAACATGAAATAAATTCTTATACTTAGCAAAAGAAAATTAACAATCAAATTAGAATGTAAAGGCAAAGAATTAGATTATTATAATAGCAAAGAACTGGACTAAAAATACAAATGACTAATATGTACCATACAATTGTAGAAACTTTATTATCTATATATA